GCTTTCATAATTTTAGATAGTCTGATTAGGTATTAATCAAATTCTTGAGAATTAAAATTAAAATTTTATATCATAACTCTAAATTAAGAAACAATTGAGAAGTAAATTTAGAAAAAATATTTTAAAAAACATCTTTGATATAAAATTTAATATATCTTTTACTTTATATTTTACTATTTTTCTGGATTTAAAAAAGTACTCATAGAATTTCAATCAACAAGGAAGAACCTAACTCAACATTTAATTGTTAAGCCTTGGGAAGTCTAGAAACAATAGGTATAAGGAAGAGCATAAAGGCTATCTTGAATAATTGAGAATGTGGATTCAAGGGACAATACGACATTAAAGAGAAAAACAAAGAGAATTGGATATAAATTTCTATACTAATACAGAGATTTGGATCCCAGACATGCTAAGAAACTTTTTTCAATATTAGTCTAGTTGCCATTATGAAAATCAAAGTTGATGTTTCAGGTATCAGACTATAACAATTAATAGGTAAATCTACATATATCATTAATAGATGATGTGGTGGAAATTTAAAATTAAAAAATAATGAACATTCTAAAATATTATTCAAACTTTGCTGAACTTAATCAAAAAAGCTAGGTCTTAAGAAATCTTCTCTGATATCTGAAATATATAGAAAAGGTTCTGTAAAGGATGAATTGTTTATTGAATATAGAAATTTTATATTTACTAGCCTTGTTTCCTCTATATTCTAACTTTTAGGTGCTGATAATAAACTTGGAGCTTTTCATTTTATGAAATGGGTGGACAAATTATTACTTGTGATCAACCGCGAATGCAAAAGAGTTCTACCTTATAAATTAATTAAACCAGGCAAAAGGAAGGATAATTTGAGCTAGAGAACTATTAAGGATCTTTTTTGGTAAGACTTTTTCATACATTGATGCATATATGAGAGATAAAAGGGATTATATCAAACATTGGTTGGTGAATTTGAAGAGGATTCTTTCTGATTGTAAATATGAAATATAAATAAATCTTTGAATTATAATATTAGCAATATTATAGTGATTGATTTAAGATAAATTATTTTTGACTAGGGATGTTCTTAATAGTCAATTTCTAAAAATTTGGTCTTATTATGAATAGCTTATTTAGAATAAATAGAACTTTTTTAGGAAGAAGATATGAAGCCTTGGTTGGGCTGTTACTTCCATAGTGCCAAATAGGAAGTAGAGATTGAAAATGGAGTTATTGATGAGGAGTTCTTTGGTAAGATTTATATTAGGTGGCATGTTTTTCACCATTCTGTTGCATTTTGTATAAAGTCTTAAGGTTGTTCTTATTTACTCATGAAATATCATAACAACTCTGGATTTTGAAAATTCAGAGTAGAGTCATTTTATGTTTAGTTTGTATGTGATAGTAAATCAGGATTTCTTAAAACAAATACTTCATAAGAGATAAATTATAATTTTTTGAAGATTTTATAGTTAGGGATTCTTTAGTAATGAACCTGAAGTTCAACTAAACGATGACATTACCCATCTAATTCAAAAGTGCACCTTCCAAAAAAATCTAAAAAAGTAGTAAAAAAGAGCCCTTTATAATAATATTAAGATGATGATTCCAATTGTTAACATCATATAATAAATTCAATTTATTATATTATCGATCTATTATAACCTTTTGCTTTAACTTTTCCCTATCCAAAATAATACAGTATATCAAGTCTTGATCACTTTCAATCAAAGGAAAAAATTGACAATTTAATTCCTATTTTTT